CCTGCCTCCGCCTGCCTCCGCCTGCCTCCGCCTGCCTCCGCCTGCCTGCCACACCGGAGAGTCTTCGGGCTCCCTGGGGGTCCCATCACACGCCACCAAGTCATCGATCTCCATCGCCCCCTGCGTTCGCCGACGCGCGGCCGAAAACGAGTTGGGCCCCACTCCGCCGTGGGTTCCACGAAGAGAAACGAGAAACCCGGGGGGCTCCGTGACTCTCACTGCCCACTTGCTTGTGCTGCACCTGGAAGACCCCAAAAACGAACCAAAAAGCATGGCTTCCATGGTTCTTGGCGGTTTCTTGAAACCATACTCACCCAAACTGACACTTTGTTGAAATGCCATGACCATGTAACCACCTCCAACCCCAAAATGGACTGAAGTTCCTTTCCCTTTCCCCACGCTTCAAGAAACGCACATGTTTCCATCCAGCTGGTCTGAGCATAAAACGGCATGAAACTTTGTGTGCCCGGACTGTGGGTCAATATCTCTGAATGAGTTGTCTGGAGCGGACTGGTGTATTCACCTGTGGGTGTTTGATGATGTTTGGAGCGGAAGAGTTTGGGATTGACCCCCAGTTTTACAGAGGCGACGTTGCAATTACATGGCTTCTCCTGTGTGCCACAAGCAAGAAGAATTATTACGCACCTGCCTTCACATGTGCTTTGCGAACCAAAGCTATTCTGGTGAATCAAGTAGTTCAAGAAAGGGAACAACAAAGAGCAACTGCTCGCTGAACGGAAAATCTATCACTGTCAAAGAATCCACCAAACGTAAACAATCTCTTGAGCTTGGCCGCAAGAACTCATACATACCTTTATTGGTTTTACCCAGACCAGAAGACCAGACATCTACCTTGGGTCCGAAACACTTCAATTATTGTCGTCCTGTGATCATTTGTGACAACTGGTGTAGACTTCTCCCAGATACAGAGCAGTTCTAGGGTCGGTTGGTCAACATTGGGTTCGTGTTCTGCCTTAGTAGGTCTGCCCTGGCCAAGGCTCTTGTTTGGGTCAAGTTCTTGAAAACTGGCAGCACGAAGTGGCAGCAACCACTTTATGAAATCACTCGCCAATTGAAATGAAATAGAGGACAAGAGTCTGGAGAAACAATACTAGAAAGTTCTGGGATGTGCTGGTTTTTCATACACGTATATAATACTTTCTTGGATTGGATGATGTTTCATTCACCTGTCTATAAATCCATCAGAGATGGTTACGTTCTCGTCTTGTCTGGTCTTCTCAGTCAGGCCGGAGAGAGTGCAATCATGGTCCGCACCAGAAGTGTCATCCTTCAAAGGCTGAAACGAAGGCTGAAACGAACACCGATAGATAGACTGTAAATACATAAATCGAGAGAGAGAGAGAGAGAAAAAAATAGAATTTAAAAAAAGGAGAGGCTGCTCCATGTTCACCCCAATACGCCAATTCCAGAATATCTAGCAAACTTGCCTGCGGAAAGCACGCTGGCCATTCAACACCAGCGACCAAATCCAGAAGCTCTGCTCCTTCACCTTGTCTTCTGAAAGAAACGAACATGCATCACTACTAGTAGCTTTTTGTTACTAGTAGTAATGGCCTCCAACCTGTGAGCTTCTTGTTACTA